GGGGGGGGGGGGGGGGGGGGGGGGGGGGGGTTCGAAAATCCTAGAAGAGGCAGGCAAGCTAGAAATTTTACAACAAATGTTCCGAAAATTCTACATCTCAAATCGCCTTCAGAACAGATATTTTCCAAAAATTGTCGTTGGATGCCCCTGTTGTCTTTTCTGTAAATTTCACACATCGAAAAAAAACAGCTAATCTAAGCTATCATATGTTGATTAAGAAAAGTCAAGCGATTCTGAAACGCTTTATAGATCTCAAGTTTTGCGTTGGTTTACGCTGGGCTCAGAAAACGAAACCATGTTTTGTGACTTTTTTCACGTCGACGGCCGGTTAAGATTTTCAAACCACTAAATGACCGGCAGCCTACCCTGCTAGCAGAGTCGCTTTGATCTCCAAGTCGGGAGAGAGGAAAGAGGAAAGAGGAAAAAAGTTCTAAGTGTCTCAAAACACGGTTTCGTCTTCTCAGCCCAGCGTACACCAAAAGCCAAACTTGAGATCTATAACGCGTTTCAGGATCGCTTGACTTTTCTTAATCGACATATGATAGTTTAGATTGGCTGGATTTTTTCGATTTGTAAGGTTTACTGAGAAAATAGGACTGCCGGTCATTTAGTGTTTTGAAAACCTTGGCCGGCAGTCGACCTGAAAAAGTGTCACAAACGTGGTTTCGTTTTCTGCGCAGGCTAAACTTGAGATCTATAAAGCATTTCATGAGCGCTTGACTTTTCTTAATCGACATATGATGGGTCTATGATAGTTTGGGTTAACAGGGATTCTTAGATAAGTCAAACTTATTGAAAATACCGTACTGCCGGTCATTTAGAGTTTTGAAAACCTTGACCGGTTACTGGCCATATAGCCACAGCTATTTTTTTATGGCGGAGTAGGGAAGTGGAGTCGGGGTATGAAAAATTAAGAAAATTGAACAAGTATATGTAAAATGGGGTAAAAAGTATCTCGCACCAAAATTGGGTGCAAAAACTTGATGGTTTATCTGTAAGCGCATTATTATGGATTTACCTACTAGCTAAAGCTAAATTACACTGCGAGCAGAGTCTTCTTCTATCTTCCGATATTTTCTAGGAGACTCTGCTCGTAAGGTAAAGCTAAATTAGCCAACATCTCTTGCGAGGACCACTTGACAAACAGCAGCTAGGGAAAGCTGCAATACTCGTCACACTGGAGGGGGCAGCGTGGCCGAGTGGTTAGAGCGCTGGACTTGCAATTCGGAGGCTTCGACTTCAAGTCCTCCTCTGACCGCTAGCTGGATTTGTTCACGGTAGTCCCGAGTTCAAATCCTCGACCATCTTGTAAATAGCCAGCTGGTTTGCCTCCGGCCAGTTATAGGATTCTTAACCCTGTTAAGTTTGATTTGAATTATTTGTTTCGGGCATTTGCTCGGTCCCACGAGCATTAGTGCTATAAATACTGCAAAGCATCTTAGAGCCTGTTTATATGAGAAAAGCAAGTCCGGTTAGCCGGGGTGGTGAGATCCTGCGGCCGCTCGAGCAAATAAGGCATGAGCTGAGCCAGCCTGGCTAACCAGGCTGGCTCAACTCATATAAACAGGTCCGGCTAAGTCACTTATCCAACTTCGGAGCTTTTGCTTTGTTAGCCTGCCAGAAAGCTCTCTCAGGCGCTCTGTCGGCGGGACTCCCTGGGCCCTCGGGAGAGCTACCGGGGGTGATTAAACCAAAATTCGTCGATAGATTTCATTTATAATTTTTGAGTGCTATAATTGATCAATGTTCTATAAAATCTCAGAATTTCCTGTTTCGTGACGTCATTGTCACGTGATAGTTATTCCGATCGCCCAAAAAATTAGATCGTAATAAAGTTTAGTCTATGTCTAATACATGTGCATAATGGTTTTACAAAAAAGATCAATTTGTTTGAGTCTAAGAGATTCAAAGATAGAAGGTGTACCTTCAAAAATACTGGGTCGATCCACCTTAACTTCTGTCAGGGAATTCAAAACGGACAGGGGGCAAATTGTTGTTGCTGGAAACACAAGTCCACAAGTCGTAACTGTTCATTAGTAAGGATGCCTAAAAAGTTTTCAATTCCACAAAAGGTTTCGGCTCCACGATGCATTAAATCCTACATACTAATGGAAACAATATCAGCCTTTTTTCTGAGGACCTCCATAATCGATATTCAGACTGAAAGGAGATTATTTCCAATTTTTCATTGTTCTTTTCACAAGAGTTTCATTTCAATAGCCTCAAGTTTCATCCTCAGCCGGCCCCAAAACAAACAGGACCATACGTTTTGTCTAGATAAGGGTGACCTGGTGATCAAAACCTTGCAAGAAGACAAGAAAAGCTGCACAATAAATTTTTTAAGGCAAGGAATTTCAAGACATTCTTCGTGACAACAAACACTGAATACCTTCGCAAAAAAATGTGTTGATGATCAAGGTTGCACAGGTTACAGAGGTAAAGTGTTAACAATATCTCACGTCCTGTCTACAAACTTGTTTTGAAAGAACTACCACAGTGGCAAAGCTTTAGCACTCGCGTATGACGAAGAACTGACAAGATACGAAGTAGAGGGTACCCAATAGGGTTTTTCTATCCCGTAATCCCGACCCAAAATTTCGGGCAATCCCGTAATCCCGAGGGTTACTTTTGGCATCCCACCTCCTGCGCATACTTTCAATCCCGAATCTCGCCCAGATTTCGCTTTAAAATCCCGAATCCCGAGCCTCAAATAAGGGAAATCCCACATCCCGAAAAACTTATTGGAGACCCTCGAAGTACATTGCCATGCGCTATAGCCAACTAATTTGAGTTTCGTGTTTATATTACTTCCTCTTTTGTTGTGAGAAATAGTACCACAGATCGAGTAACGCAATATATAATAGACATAATCGAGGGCTTTTGGGTAGCAGTCAGTGTCAGTTGAAATCATTTAGTTGTAAACTTGCCAAATCGTTGAAATAATTGGCAGTTGCCCCAGACTCAATTAAGAACGGTAGCATCAGTTCTAACCAACAGCCCACGATCGATATATCAAAATTCTAACATGACTTCGAGGCTTTATGGACAAAATTGGAAAACATGCACCAAATATAGAAATATGACCAGAAAGGCTCGGAGTCATGTGAGAATTTTATAAATCGATCGTGGGCTATTTTCATAATAAAACAAGTCACAGGATCAAAAACCTTGAACACAAAAAAGCATGTTTAATTAATAATTAAAATCAATTTCTAAAGTCTGCAATCCAAAGAATGCTACTGAGTGGCCCTTATTGCCGGAAGCAACAATTTTAAGCTTACATCATACTTAAACATACATCTCTTAGGTTGAGTACCGCTCTTAATAGGTCTTATGTACATATTTCGTTGATTATGGATGCCACAAAGTGATTTCCTTTCACTTAACCAGTTTTTGTCTAGTCAGTTGAAACTGTAACCACTGATTTAAGCATAACTTATTGCTGAAAAAGCACATTTACTAGAGATAACGAGGCGCTTGATGAGACATCATCTCTTAAGAACATGTCATAGTTGAGGCATCTCTTGGCGAGAAACCAGTTATGGAGTACATGTCCTTGTGGTCTCTCTGATCTACAGTGTCACATACCGCCATGAATGCCAACTCCAACATCAGTCTCTGCCCTGTTTCCTCAGATGAAGAGAAAATGGACACAAACAGAAATGGGGAAGAACAAGAAAGGAAACTCGAAAGGGCCACAAAAAGAATTCGCTTTTGGAAGTTGTTAACTGTAGCCACATGTGCACTGGCAATAGTTTTAGCGGCTCTCTTACTGTGGAAGACAGCTAAAAGCAATACCAGTGACAAGAGCAGGACAACACAAGCGCCTTGTAAAGCAAAGAATGAAACAACACTGTCTTCAGTGCAAGCCCGTTGCCCTCGAATACCAACGGTTCGCCCTTTAACAACTCCTTTGCCTGCCGAGTTAAAAGGTGTCTTCAAGGAACTAGACATCCTTTTGTCGAAAATGGTAGACGAGAAAACATCACTTCCTGCAATTTCGGCGGACGTCTTTTACGGACAGTCTCTTCTCTGGAGCGGTCATTTTGGTAGTAAATTTTCCAATTCAACTGACAACACGAAACCCAACGGCAACACGGTGTATCGTATCGGTAGCGTCACCAAGGTATTTCCAGTGCTTTTGATTTACAAACTGTTTGAAGGAGGAACAATAGGATCTATTGACGACCCTTTGAACAAGTATTTTCCAGAGTTTCACATAAAAAATCCGTTTACTAATGAGAACATTACAATGAGAGAAATAATTTGCCAGATGTCTGGCCTCCCGCGCGAAGCTCCTTGCCGTTATCACTGTGAAGAGACCAACTCCAAGGAGCAACTCGCGCAACTCCAGAACAAAAACCTCTTGTTTCCTCCTTGGAAAAAGCCTTCTTACAGCAATCTAGGATTTGCGCTGCTTGGCAGACTGATTACAGAAAACTTGCTTAACACAACATTCGAAAAGTGGGTTCAAGGAGAAATCCTTGAGCCGCTTAAGATGAATAACACCGGATTTGAAATCACTTCCATGGTTGAAGAAAATCTGGCATTTCCCTATGGTCACCAAGGAAAAAGGATACCTTTCAGCAAGCTTGGTTGGGCATCCCCCGCTGGAGGCATGTACTCCTCTCTTAATGACTTGACAAAACTAGGAATGATGTTTACCCGGCCAAGCAACCAAACCCTCTTCAAGCCATCAACTGTTCGCCAGATGGCATTGCCAGTAGATATCGCTCCAGATGGCCTCACTCTCTGGGGATCGCCTTTCGAAATGGTTTTCTCCAACGGTTATCTGGTCCGAGGTAAGGGAGGAAACATTGACAGCTACGATGCTTACTTCTCGTTTGTGCCTGAACTTGAGCTAGGAATAAACATTTTGATGAGCGGTAGGTCCATTAGCCTGTCCGCCTCGGAATTTGGCAGAGAGGCTTACACCAAGCTTCTTCCAGTTCTCAACAGAACGCTATTTAACTTGGAAGAAACTGCGGTCTTTCCAATTGATTCCAAGGCGTTCACAGGTTGGTACATCGTAAATCAAACAAGCTTTTTTACAATGGAAATTTTTCGATACAATGCAACCATTACAGAAAGAAACGGTGTCCTTCTTTTCAAAGGCCTTTCTCAGGTAGCGTATCCTTTCGCCATACGATACATAGGAGATTCGTCCACTTTCCAAGCCGAGTTTTTGAGTCCTGGGATGTCTTGCTTCACGGAAAGAGCCGGGATATTCGCTGACATTCATTTCAGTCCCCCAACCCGAGATGGCCTGTCCCAAGGGTTCAGCCTACCACAATGGGGAATTGTTGGACATAGGATAGAGGAAGAACATTAATGGTTCGGATAAGGTCAGAAGTAAAACACCAAGAATATGAAATATATAGTTTCAGGCGAAAAAGTGCTGTTAAGGAAGATTAAATCAAAGTAAAAAAAAGGACTGCCAACCTTCGTGTCGCCCATGAAAGGGGCAGGGTCTCTTGATTAATAATTTACAATTCTGGGCAAATACAAATTACATTTGTTGCTTTGTTGAGTCTATATGGCTAGTAACAGTGAACCTCATCCCTTATCCCTGTAAGCTGCGGCGTGTAAAGAAGGTGTGGACGACCCTAATTCCTCACTCATTTTGAATCACATGCATAAACAACTGCCATTACCAGCATTGCCTGAAGATGATTTCAAAAAAAGACTTCTGAACGTTTAGATGTTAAGCCTTTGACACGAAAATAATTACGCGGTGGCTGCTTCACTTTGCTTTTTCTTCCTGGTGTGAATTTCGCTTGTGATGGCTACCTGGGTGGTCCGCATGTTTTTCGAGCTGTTTGTCTACTTTTGATGTTGAGGATAAAGACTTACACAAAAAGAGGCCAGTTTGATTTACAGCCACAGACGCGGAGCCTGAAAAAATGACAGTTTCTTCTCTGTCTGAGCAAAGAAGTTAATGGAACGAAAATTAAATTTGCTTGTCTTTGCTATGTAAATTTGTTAAAACTCTTCGTTAAATATAGAATCGCAAACATTAAGGCCAATAAAGCTAAAAAAAACACGATGATGACGCAAAACAGCTTATTCAGTGTGTAGAGGGATATCGAATAACTCACTAAGCCAAAAATTTCAGTCAGAACCAAGGCTCCCGGACATTCTAGGTGACCTTTTTAGGGTAAAAATCCGTTAAAAATGGGCAATTATACCATTGTTTAGATGTTCGAAAATCCTAGGAGAGGCAGGCAAGCCAGAAATTTTACAGCAAATGTTCCGAAAATTATAGATCTGAAATCGTCTTCCGAACAGATACTTTCCGAAAATTGACGTTGGGTGCCCCTGTTCTGGGACTGTTACTTGGGAAGGGGGAAAAGATTAGCCAATAGCCGACCAGCTCGCAGTAACGATCCCAAAGACCATTGCGCGACGCATTTCTTGTCCAGATCCCTTCTCGTTTCTTCAGTGGCGAATTCCAAATCTAGGCTCGATTTCGGTCAGGTATTACACCTTTTGCTGATCAGTTAGGCGAAAAAGATATTCACTTTCGCGAAGTGTTCCGTGGCGTTAATGAAGTGCTTCTTGGTGTTATAGAATGTATATTCGCCTTATTGATTCTACACTTCGCGAAAATGAATATCTTTTTCGCCTAAATGATCAGCAAAAGGTGTATTCGTTCCCTAGGAGATAGATAGCCTGTTCCAAGCGTTCAGATAGTGGAGAGCGGTGCGGAGTATAAGAAAGCGATGAAAAGTAGAGGGGGACTGGGGAGAGAGGTGCGGGTTCCCTCTCTCACCTCTCCTCCTCCCTCGCTTTTATTTTTCCGCGCTCCTTTTTACTTCGCACCGCTTCCCACTATCTGAACGCCTGGAACAGGCTAGGAGATAAAGGGATAGAGCTTTCTTTCTGTATGGCGCCTCAACCCTTTTGTCATTTCCATAAATCCTCTTTCACGACAATAACCGCAGGCAACTTATTCAGTTAAAATAACACATTTATTTTGACAACAGTAACCGACCCTNGGGGGGGGGGGGGGGGTTTGGGAGAGAGCGACAGTAAGCATTGATCTTGTTTCAGATTATCGTTTTATATCCCGCTGCCTCTTGGATGTAATAACTCAGTTCGACGTGGCCGAGATCGCGCGTGAACACCAACGTAAGGGGTAGAGAGACGCCGGCGATACAACGGCTGTATGAGAATATGACACCCTGCAATGGCTGCTATCTGAAAATATTGATGTCTACGACTTGTTCCTGTTGTTTTGTCCCAAAAAGAGAAGAAAATAGTTCGTTTCTGCCAAAAGAACAGAAACAAGCACATTAATCAAAGGGATGAGCAGTAAACAACGACGCCTTGTTCCAAAGAGATCGCAATTATTCATCTCGAAATTTTAGTGACATTTTCGTTTTTTCTTTAGTCAGCACATGCGCTAATTAATTAATTAATCAATTTGTCTATTTCTTTGATTATTTAGCAAGAAACGTATACACACAACTTCAAGAACGTTAGGCTAGAAAAGGGACCTTAATAACGATGTTTCCATTAGTGGTTCTACACCACTAACAGTAAACTTTCTCAAAGCCCGGCACTCACGCAGTCGACTTCTGACAAGTCTACACTAACAGCTACTTCGTTGTACGCATCTTTAAAAAGTAGTCTTCTTGATTAGATATTAGAAACGAGGACATAGTTAACGAGTACATACCTTGATGAGTCTGCCATGGCCCCTTTCTCTATTGGCGCCATAAAGCTGACAAGTTTTCCATGAATATCGTATCTGTAAACAAAGAGGGCACGTTTGTTATCTGAAAACTGTGAGTACAGCTAGAGGAAAGAGAAACCTTTCTCGATAGGCGGCAATGAGAACTAAAGAAATATTTTCCCGGGTAAAATTATCAGTCAATGAAGCATAAAAGCTTGAGAAAGAAGGATACCAGAATGTCCGTAATAGAGAGATGTACGTATTATGGAGGGGAATACGCACCCAAGTGTCCACACTGAAGAATTGTCTGTATAAAGAATTAGGAATTGCATGAAGTTTGGTGTCCTAGAGTTCATGAAAACCGTCCGTAATCGAGACATGGCCGTCTGATAGAGGTAGGGATTGTATGAGGTTTGGTATCTTTGTGACCTACAAAAATCTCCATGATAGAGTGGTGTTCATTTTATGGTGGGGGAGACATACCCAAGTGTCAACGTTACAGAGGTGTCTCCATTGTAGAGGTTGGGGCTGTACATGGTCATGGTAAAAAAGGGGACTATCAATGGCCGTTTTCGCACTAGAGACGGATTCTCCGTCTGAGACGGAGAATCCATCTTCAAAATCCGTCAAACTTTACGCAAAAACCGATGGATAAAGTCGATTGCCCATCCAATTAAGACCGTTCCACTTTCATTGTCTGACACAAATTATCCAACGGGTAACCCGTCTTAGACGGATAATCTGTCTCTAATGTGAATACAGCCATCAATGAGGTGATGTCCGTATCTTAAAGGTAGGGATTGCAAGAAGTTTGGTAGCTTGGGGATCAAGAAAACAAACATTCCACAGAGGTGTCCATATTATTGAGGTGTCCGTTAGCAAGGTTTCCTCTGTATTTTCCCAAGTAATATTGCTGGTTTATCAAACATAAAATAAACCCTGTGGTAGAGAAAGGAAATGGGAATACACTGTATCAAGATCATGTCTCCAGTTTTTTTAAAAAAATCCCCTAGATAGTTTAATAAGAAACACATGGAGAAGAGCGTGAAATTTATACGGAGTTGAAATGGATGGAAATAACCTAGTCTTTCGTGAGAAGGAAAAAAAAAAAAGAACCATCTACAGTAGAGATACTGTGTAGGCTAACAAAGAAAGCTTACCTTATTTTTCGGCCTTTGCTCGCTTTGGTGTCAACTTTCTTTTTCACTTTTCGCCGAAGCTTTTGAAGTTCAAGCCACTGCCTAAAAGTGTCATTTTACAGAAGAAACAAAAAAGCCTTTAGTTCGAATGGTGCAGTCATCTGTTGGAGACCGGCAAGAGAAATACTACATGCAGTTTACTTTCTGCAACTACAACTACGTGTAAGGTGGAAAATAAAAATATGGCTCACGGCCACAAACTGTTTACTTTACATAACCGACACAAAAGCTTAAGATACGTAGCTACTTGAATACAGTTTGCTAGGCCTATGATATTACCTTCCCATTTCAATTGGATTTCCTGTGCTTCCACTTGTTCGCTGCTCTATGAATTCCCGCAATAGCTATCAAAGACAAAAACAATTAACAGCTCTAATTAGCCTGACTAATTAGATTTAATTTAAAGAATTGATGGCATGTGGGTACTTTCCAACACAACAGGGAGCTTTAGCAACGACGACGGCGAGGGCAATGAGCACGTCAAAAAAGAAACATGTTTATCACGAAAAACAACAAATTTGCACGTGCATCACGCTTTTTTGTACATTTTTTCGCTGTCACTGCACGACTACGACGTGAAAATGCCTAATTTCACGTTTCTTAGAGAACGTATTAAAAAAGCGACGACGAATTTTTCTTTCTCTATATAAACTTGAGTGGGGTCTGCACGAAATCAACTCCAGAGGAATTCGCCTACATTTGACATTTTCGGCGCATTGGAATAAACGCGACAAAGCTTGCCAAAAAAAAAAAGGTTTTCGCTGCCATCGCCGTCGTCGCTGCTAAAGCTTCCTAATAAGATTCAGTGCCAGCGTTTTAAGCTGGGTTAAAGTTTGACGAGTACTGTACTGTCCTATTACACAGACCTATTAGTACTGAAATCAGGACAGTTGATATCCAATCAGATTCGAGAATTCTGCTATAGTTATGCAATCTTTTTAGGTCTGTGGACATAATCCTGGGTTTTTGCACAACAGAAATTGGCATTGCCTTGCCTTAACGAAAAGACACCATCAGAGGTTATTACCTGATGATAAAAGTCATCATCGTCAAATATCTCCGGGTCATAGTCTCTTAAATGAACATCCGACTGCTCCTGTAAATAAAGTGATGGAACAATTAGAGAAATTCCCCTGATAGTGAGCTTATTCACCACCGCAATCAAGTTAACCCAAACGCGTTTATCAAGGACACGCCATATACTAGGCTCGATTATCAGCCGCTGTACAGAAAACGAGCCCGCACTCCAGGGCGGACCCGAGAAAGCGTGGGAAATCGAGCCTAGCCATAATGTACTTACCGCATTTTCTCGATTANAGATTCAGTGCCAGCGTTTTAAGCTGGGTTAAAGTTTGACGAGTACTGTACTGTCCTATTACACAGACCTATTAGTACTGAAATCAGGACAGTTGATATCCAATCAGATTCGAGAATTCTGCTATAGTTATGCAATCTTTTTAGGTCTGTGGACATAATCCTGGGTTTTTGCACAACAGAAATTGGCATTGCCTTGCCTTAACGAAAAGACACCATCAGAGGTTATTACCTGATGATAAAAGTCATCATCGTCAAATATCTCCGGGTCATAGTCTCTTAAATGAACATCCGACTGCTCCTGTAAATAAAGTGATGGAACAATTAGAGAAATTCCCCTGATAGTGAGCTTATTCACCACCGCAATCAAGTTAACCCAAACGCGTTTATCAAGGACACGCCATATACTAGGCTCGATTATCAGCCGCTGTACAGAAAACGAGCCCGCACTCCAGGGCGGACCCGAGAAAGCGTGGGAAATCGAGCCTAGCCATAATGTACTTACCGCATTTTCTCGATTAAACGCCGGACACCGATAATATGCCGAGTCAAAACTGCCGATTTTTAAATAAACGCCGAAGGCGTTTAATCGGGGCCCTGGCGTTTGGTCGAGTTCCCGGCGTTTATTTGCGGTCGAGGTCGCAAGGGCTGGTTACAAGTAAATATAATCTTACGAACAGCACTGTTACGACATACCAAGTACAGTATTTTGTTTTGGTATTTTAATGACCGTTCAAAGGAAAAATACCGGGGTAACATAACTAGGAAGGATGCTGCACAACAAAATGTACGGTACCATAATAGAGAGGTTAAGCATCATGTTTACTTCAAACGGCAAACTCGAATTTGTACCACGTGAGCAAGTTTCCCCTTTGCTTGTCGTTTACTGTTCATTATTTCTACACATAAATTAGTAGTTTCACGCAGTTTTTTTTCATCCATAAGAATTTTCTTAGCTGTTTTCATCTTCTCGTTTTCTATTTTGAGAAATTCTCAACTTGAATTGGACGTTTGGCGTTTGCCGTATAAGTGAAGCTTAAAACTCTCTAATACTGTAACTTTGGGTGATGTTAATGTACGTAAGGTAATCATCCTCGGAGATCCAGGGACAGGACAAAGGGAAAAATCGCGGTCCCGCCCTGACAAACTGCCCCTGGGTCTCCGAGGATCGGTAATAATAAATCATCCTGAAAAAAAAAATGAAAAAAGAAGACTGTATTTCATTAATAAACTCCCGACCCCGATTAAACGCCGGCCTCGAAAAAACGCCTGGTCAAAACTGCACATTTTAATTAAACGCCGGCGGGGGCGTTTAATCGAGAAAATACGGTACAAATATAGTGTCGTCCATTTTGTAACTCAAAGCCTACAGCTGTCGAAAGATTCTTAGTACAAACCTCGCTAGACTCCATGTTTTGTCTTTGCTCCTCTTCTGACTTTCCCAACACTCTATACGCAGAGCGTTTCAGTTGTGTACGCTTGATAAGACGATCTTTGTCGGATAAAATCTGAAATCACGAAAGGATTCAGGAAATAGCGGCAATTAGCCCAAAAGAGAAAAGAAAGCCTCTAACATACGAGGAAGCTTATGCTCATTTAAAAAAGGATTAAAAAAAATACGACATATTTAAAAATCAACCACGGTTTTCCATGGTTTCACTGCAAAGTTTTGAACATTTCATGGCGCCATTTCTAAGGTCTATAAGAGTGTAGACCATGAACAATTGTGGTCGATTTGTTTTTTACAATAACATTTATTTTTTGGGGAAAAAACCAAAACCAAAACAACCGGCACTGCGTGACATGTTACATCATTCCCATGGTCTATACTCTCATAGACCATAGCTCTCGACCAATCAGCACACGAGGATTCGCTCAGTTATTGTAAAATTTCTTTTCTTTCTGTCTGACGACTTGGCCTCACATATAAGATTATTGACACCCGAGAAAAAACTGGGGTGCGTTCTTTAAATAATTGATGGCATATGGGTACCGTAGACGGCCGTACTTACATGATTTATCTGTGCTAAAGCTGATCTGTCAAAGGAGCTGAAAGACTGCAAAAAAGCAGAAAGCTAATGTCAGTAGGACACATCACTTCCGGTTAACCATTAACATAGTTTAAACTGGGTACGAAAAATCAGTCGGGCTGACTTGAGAAAATGACACGAAGTTTTTGGCCCGATTGCAAAATCCACTAGCCCCAGGCAATCGGACACGACTTTCTCTGCACGCTGCAGAACCCTGTGAATATCATTTACAGTAGCAAGCAATAGGTTATCTATAATAACTTAGAAGCACCAGGGGGGAGGGGGGGGGGGACTTGGGTTAATGTTTGCTGGGTATGTGCTGCTGGCCTCTCAGAGCCCCTACCCCATTATACCCCATCTTAGTCACTTTTGGAAAATGTAATTTTTGTGATCCCAGCTTAGGCACTTTCTATTTATACATCTACCTTATCAATGTGGTTTCAAGCGGCAGAATGTAATGCGGTCAATGCAAGCTTATTGTTAACAACTTTTTAACAGAGGATCTTCCCATTTTGAATCCCTACTCACCCCAAAAATCCGAAAATTTGCGACCCCATTCTAGAAACTCTATTGAAAATGCGACCCCATTATAGTCACTCCAGTTGTGAAAATGTGACCCCATCCAGTGGCACATCCCTATAAGCCCCTTGTAAGGGAGTACCCCCCCCCCCCGGGAGAAGCACACCCCATTTACGCTTGATCTGACACAACCAGACAATATTTACAAATACCTTGCTGTTTAGCTTCCCTGAAGCTAAACGTGTTTTTTCACTCCATTTTGATATTGTTGCATCTCGGTAACTTTTGAAGGCAGCATGTCGTTTTGAAATATATTCTGCGTACTCTGATGTAGCCTATGAAGATAGAAGAAAATTTTAATTTCTTTCACTGGGGCTGCCAAAATATTTTACATATTTAATTATATATAAATCTTGTGGTTATTACACGAAGAAATAAATTTTTCAGTGCTGGTTGACAAGACCACTGTTAACAGTATCCTTACAGCATTATATTATGTGAGGAGGCCAAAAGAACATTTGCAAGGTGGGGTACATGTAGGCTACCAAATTATTATAGAGTTAGGAGTTGTATAATAGACCAACTCCACCGTCTGAAATCGACAGCGGCACTTATAAGCCAAATTTAAACCATAAACACTAACTAGTAAGGTACAACAACCTTTCAGGCAGTTGTTTATACCACAATCACACTGCTTCTTCAGGACAATTCCACAGTACAGATATCTCTCTATTACAGATGGACAATTCTGTAATTCAAAAATCCACCATGGTCCCTTTGCTGTCTGTATTAAAGAAGTCTTACTGTACGTTGTAAGTGCCACATGAAACCTCATCTAGCCTTTTTCCTTTGCTTCACAAGGAAAAGGGACATGGAACAAAGGAAACCAGAGATGTCTGCACACAGGTTAAAACTCACCATCTCATGTTTTCTCTTGGCAGGTAACTTCAGACTATTCTCTGCCCCCTCATCCATGTTCTTATCCTCGCCATTTTCACCAACATCATCATCATCATCATCACTTTTTTCATCATCAGTATCACTGGGAATTTCCTCATCATCATCATTGCTACCATGAGCGGAACTTTGCTTCGCTTCAGTTCCTGGTATTAAAACACGTGCAGTGTCTGGATTCTGTTCTAGCAGTTTCTCTTGAACTAAGAGTAAGTTTCCTAGAAGTTTTGCCAAGGCTCTCTTTCCTGCAAATTGTCACACACAAAAAAAATCATAAGACTCTGGAAAGGGAAAAAGTACCATTTCACACTACGCTAAAAATTAGAACATGATGTACACATTTTTTTTTATAATTCTCACCATGAGTTTCTTAAAAAGAATTGTCTCCTTGACACACAAAAGAAAATAACTCAACACTTCAACTAAGGCTGGTCCAGTTTGGTGAATAATTCTCACATGAATTGAAAATCACTGATCAACAACTGAGTCTCAACTCTAGTGACTTAGAAAAATGGTTTCCTTGAGACACCCAGCAAAATTACTCAAAACTTGAGCTGAGTCTGTTCCAGTTCGGTCATACTCACATGCAATGCAATGCAATGCAATTATATTATATTATATTATATTACATTACATTAGACCCTTCCAGCTTGCCCTTTACCCTAAAGACGTCTGTAAATTCTTGAAACTTGGCCGAGCCATATCTTCACTTGATTAAGACGTATCACTTTCAAATTTGGCAAGTTTAATCATTTAAAGGGGTTGACGGATTTTCCCAAACTGGTCCATGTCAAAAGTTAAAAGAAAATGTGAAGGAGTTTATCAAGCATCAAGTGTCAACTTACTGTACCTTGTTTGTATTCGTCTTTCAAGTTCTTATCTCCAGAGGACTTGAATTCTTCTATCTGTTTCTGTTGAGGTAGCTTGTTGGCAACTAGGAGGGCTTTCTGCAATCTAATACGCAATTCAAGAAAGCTGTCCCACAAACCTGCAAAAGAAAATGCTGATACATGAAATAACCTTATATACAGTCATGTACAAGTAGTACTACAACCAGCCACCTATATTTTCATGTACGTGAACAGGCTGTGTGATTTATAACCTTTATTATAAAAAGCTGGGTCATTAAATAATGCAATTCCAAGGTTCAGACTACAGCTGTACATGTATGTAGCCGTAAATCGACTTGAATTAGGTTATTTGAATTATATGGAGTACAATTGACTTGCATGTACATGACTCATTTCAAACATTGTTTTGTACATCTATCCACCGTAAAAAATGTTTTAGGCTTACTTGGAGAAAATATAACACTAAATAAACAAACTCGAAGTCCTTTTACATCCTTCTTACACACATGTAATATACATTATATCTACTGTACAATACAATACAATACAATACAATACAATACAATATTCTTTATTTAACGAAGGTGACGTGATAACCCAATGAGTTATCTAACTTACGGCCTTCACAACAATACAAAATACACATATAAAAATGATGCCTAATCAGTAATGTATGAATACAACAAGCGAAAAAATAGAACTAGACAAATGTACTACCCCTCCTTTAATAGTTATTTTTGTAAAACTGTCAAGAACTGGAAAGCGCTACCAAGAGAAATTGTTAACATTAAGTGCTCTGATCGATTCAAAAAAGTCATATTATTTGAGCAATTCAGTCAAGGGAAAAAGCCCTGGGAATGACGTTGTGATGAACATAAATATTGTAAAATAATTAACGCCATGAATATTTTCATTCATTTTATCTTTTGTAGGAGATTTTGTTATTACTATCATTATTATTAACTTAAATTTTATTTATTTAACTAGATGTCTTGCATGATGGCACACCTATCGTAAGACTAGAATTTTTGTAAAGTAAAGTTTGAAGTGAAACATCACTTACTTAGCTGGTTTCTGGCAGCTTTTCCTTTTTCAATATCCTCTGACAAGCTTGTTGCAGAAAACTTTTGAATAGCATCACTACCTTCATCATCTTCTAGTTCTTCTTCCCCCTCCTCCCCCTCCCCCTCCTCCTCCTCCTCCTCATCATCATCATCATAATCATCGCCATCATAGTTGTCATCATGATCATTATCATCATCATCATTGCTCTCCAACTCATCACCCAAAAAGTTTCCATTCTTTTCATTATCAGAGTGTCCACTATCCTCCTGCTCAAAATCAGTTGTGGGATGTTTATTTCTTTCTTTTGAATCCACCGCTTGAATATCATCACTATCATCCTCACTTCCTTCATTTTCAACTGCATCATCATCATCATTATCATCATCTTCTGACTCTCCCATTCCATTCGGAAAGTCACCTTCGTCTACAAAACATTGGAATTGGAAAAATTATAATACCATGTTAGTTCTAACACAGAAAAATGAATACTGACATTCTTACATTTTCAACAAGAAAGATTATTGTGTAATTCCCTTCCAGCATGTTATCATCAGCCTTAAGACGTAAAACTAATAGTGATCATCACTTTATCAAAAGCATGGAACTCATGCATAGGACTCTTCCGACCATGTTGCAAGGTCGTTTTGCTTCAACAGTGAGTCGTTTCGCTAACGTCCCATTCACTAATGTCTTATGGTGATCTGCTAAGAAGCGAAATGAGTGCTGCGCATGTATAATATGCTTCATTCTCTCAGCCATGATACAAAAAAGTGCAATACACATGTATGTACCTCGTTCTTTCAGCCACTGATCAGGAAAAAGCTGTTAGGGAACTGACCCAACAAGTACGCAAAACGACTCACTGACACTCCCACAGTTTTTTAGCTTTTGACATGGCCCAGAAAAAATATCGAGTTTTGGGTACATATCATGTGTCAGCTTTTGGCATTCGCAATTCGGGAAATAAGCTTCCAATCTGTACCACGTGTGTTTTAATCTTATCAGGTTTTATGCTTCTGACAGCTGTATTAGATGGACTATAAAATCAAGAATAAATTAGATCGATATAAGGCCAGTTATTCAGTACCTTGAAATTCATTCTCTCCTGCACTTTCCTTATCGGTATCTGATCGATCCGCCTGGTCTCTTGACACTTCGAGTTGAGCACGTGTAATCTTTCGGCCGGCGTATTTCTTGTCCTCGTCTTGCAAAAGCGTCACCGCTTTCTTGCGCAAATTATTACCTCTAGAGAACTTTTGCTCTTCTAAATTACCAACATCCGTATCTCTATTAGTTATCTGTGCTCTAGTGAGATCAAATTCATCATCATCCAGATCAAAACGGCTTGGTTCGGGATTTGCGAGAGCACGAAGTTGCTCAGCAAAAGTCGCCATATTGGATTTGTTCGACAGCTTGGTATCCTGGCCTATTTCGAACTAAAAAGAAACTGGAAGTGGGGGAGTGGGGTGCGTGCCTAGATTATATTGCTTGGAAATGGTTCTTTTTTCATTCTTTGACGTTCTACCTTTCTTATTTTCTTCATTTTTTGCGTTTAGATGATATGATAAAATAACAGTAGCATTCTTTTGTCGAGTCGACTACACTGAGCTCGTTTCAATTGGACGAAGGCCCTCCCGGAAAGCAAATTTTTTCCCCAGGGAGGATGACATCTTCCGCTAATGACGTAATTTGTTGTGGTTCCTTCGATCACCTGAAAATGGCGCTCGAATCCAGCGGTTCACCGATCGTTTCGAGCGCTTTCTTGCACAACTTACCATCAAAATCGCAAGTTGATTGTGCAGAAACGAATGGCAATTCACCACATCTTTCAAGGCGATCGCTGAATGAGATAGAGAACTCCGAGAAAAGTGGAATTCCGTTGAATACTCCATGGACGTTGTGGCATGACAAGTAATCCACCGTAGCAAATTATTTTATTCTTTTCTTCCCTGGTCGTTTTCGAGTCGTCTCCTTTTATATTGTTATTTTCAGATATGTGCGTGGAGCTACGGCCGCAGAATATGCTGCTAATCTTCGTAAATTGTACACAGTAACGACGGTTCAGGTATTTCTTAGTTAAGGTTATTTTCGATGTTGAAAAGAAAAGGTTTCATATAAGCTTATAGTTTGCCAGTAATTTGAGCTGTCAAACGTTGACAGCCGAAGGTTCCTGTAGCGTAATAATTACCAAAAGTCTTGAAATGAGGGCAGTATTTTGTACTTTTTGCTAAATAAACCTATTATAAACAAGAGAAAGCAAATCGTCGTATGCATTTGTATGAAGTAGTAAAAAAATAAAGGCATATATCGATAATATTTTCAACACTCAAGTGTAGTGTTTTGACTGCAAAGATGAATAAATTAAGGGTGGCAGACTTGTCATTTTGTTTATGGCGATTGCACATCTATATTCCTAGAAGATGAAAACATGAAGTTTTATCAGTACTCACACTTGAAAAATGGACCAAAAAAGAATTATTTTATTTCTTAAAGCTTAAACATATGGCAAATTAAAGATATTGATTTTTTATGGGGGTCTGTCTATATGTCTACGTGTACGTACACCTGAAAAGGTATAGATTTCCTTTGTTGAAGGTTTTCGATGTTTCAATGTTCAGCTGCACAGGAAACTCGAGCATCACCAATTGTTGTGTTATTGTTTAAAACTATGTATATTAAATAGAAAATTCCAAGCTCAACTAAGAATTTTTATTTTTTGGGAAATAAAACCACATGTTCATGCACATGTGTGCAGCATTACTTTCCGTTATTGAAGGATTTGGGGCTGTCATGAGCTTCAGTTTATGGAAAGGATGTGTTACACCTTTTTTTTCTCTTTCTTATCCTTCTCCTTTTTTTTAAGCACTGAGGTTGGTGTGGAATCTACATGTCATGTAATGCATATGGTCCTGAAATAGGACAATATCAGACAGTTGTGCATGGCAACCAAAAGATCATTAGTTTTCATAGTCCCAGATGGGACTGCACTACTTTAAATATAATTGACGCCAAAAATGTTCTAGAAGACATAACACAGAAAATAACTCAACATCTGCATTAATTTTATTTCCTTTTCTGTGTTCGGTAAATACACGTAGGACCCCAATGGGCTCCTGTTTAACTTTCATGTACTTGTGCTTTATGTGCCAACTTAGATTGTATCTTCTTGTTCCATACATGCCTTTGTTCTTGTTTTTCTTTTCTTTTCTTTTTTTCTGTTTTTTTTCCTCCTCTAGAGTTGATGTGTATAGTACAGTGTACAGTATGTTTTCCTCTGCCCACCTTAACTTGCCGAGTTGCTTGGAAGCAGAGGATATTTAGAATATTTAATTTAACAAAAACTGTGTGCATAATTCTATCTTCTTTCTTTGTACATTATTGAAGGTTGGTAAATTACATGTACCCTCTTATGTATATATTATTATTTTAATATTATTATAGAGTTTCTGGAGTGTGTTTAATAACATCCCTCGCACCTCATGTCTGGATATGAGAACAAGTTATCACTTTATGCGTGGAGAGAGAAAACCACTTTGGTAAGTTAATAAAACCACTTTGTTGCATAGTCTTTGCACATACTTGTTGATCTCCCTCACTTTCAACACAAGTTTAAAAGTCCCTCCCTTTTAGATTAGGGTGAAAAACCATGGGCCTCATCTCTCAGCTCTTTCATTTTTCTAATTCTTGTGGGATGTTATAGAACCTACACTGCTGTTCTTAAAGAGAAGGAGACGTAGACCCCAGTAGTACATGGTCAACCTTTAAATGTGTGCTTCTATGCGCATGTATTGCTGTCAGTAAAAAACAGGTCTTGATCTAAAATTAATGATAATGATGATGATGATGAGAATGACGATGACGATGATTATGATCATGATGATGTTGATGATTTTAATTGTTGTTTGAACATCAACAGGGAGGACAAGGAAAATGTTAATGGTGGTTATTGGAAAATGAGGTGTGCCAAGCACAATACAGTAAGTTTAAGAGTTAGCATTTGCAAGAATTTAATTCACAACGGGTGCACTATTTAGACCTATATTCACAGCAGAAAACACCCTTACAGCTGTACAATGTACATGTATAACAAAAATCCCCACAATCTTTTTCTCTTATATTTTACCAGTTTGACCTACAGTGTAAGTCTACTTTAGGCACTTAGGTAATTTTTATTTGTTTACTTTTATTATCATTAATTTTTTATTGAACATTATTAGTAATTAATAATGCATTATTGTTATTTTTGTTCTTCTTCTTATTTATTTATTTACAAACTGTGTCTTTTATTTATTGCATAATGGTATCATTTTTGTGTACATGTATGTCTCCATAAGGGTAACAATTTTATAGATAACCTGTACCTCTCCCAGTCTTTGATGTTGTTTAACTTTTTTCTTGTCAACAGGATAAAGTGTGGAAAGAGTTGCTTTTGGCAGCCATAGGTGAACAATTTGTTGACAGTGTCAGACAAGGTAGAAAACATTCTAATAACAAAAACCACCCTTATCATAATAAAAGTAGCTTTATTAAGGTACGGAAAATTATTTTATTGAAGATAGTTCTTGACAATAAGGGAAGGTTGTTAATACAGTTTACCCAGTGTTGAAGAAAAAAGGTCTTTTTCTGTGTTGATCCATTTTCAATTTTCCGACAATGCTAGTTAATCATTTCTAAAGTTATGATGAATAGTTTCTGTAAAGCATAAAGCATCTTTCTATAGACTTGAAAAACATTTGTCCTCTTAATTTAGCCCACTTAAAAACAGATTGAGAGGATTTAGTCAAATGATTTCTTTACAAGTAAAGTACACAATGTAGTGAGAATTCATTAAAATAATGTAACCACCCATGAGATGAGGATTGTCAAGATTATTCTTGATGTGCACATTATATTCCTACCACAAATGGATATGACTATTGTTTCAAATTAAAAAAAAAAATTTTGCTACTTTTTAGATGATGAAGTGTGCGGTATCAGTGTTTCTGTGCGCGAAAGAGATGACATAATTCAAGTGTGGAATTCAAATGCTTATGCTGTTGAAGATGCGACGGTAAGATTTTGATTTTGCCTGTCATTTGATTACAGCTAATTGTAAAATTAATGATAACTTGAACATGTACATGTAGTCATCTATTAACACTGATTTGTATAATTTAAGTAATTTATATAATTTGTAAAAAGTTTTTCTATTGCCGTGATCAGTTGTTATGCATCAAAATTGAATCATATTATTTCGCAGAGAAAAATATCCATGCAGGCACTTAATCTGAATTGTTTTGTGTGTATCAGATATTGGACAAATTGAGGGACCTTGTACCGGATGTTGACTTGTTTGATGATTTCTATAAATGTAAGAACAATTGAATTGTTATAATCTTTGTGATTTGTGGCCATTACTGTACTTGTAATTTCAGTTGCCATGCTTGTTGAGAGATGGAGTTTTTATGCGACCTTTGACTGTCTTGTAATAATAAATTATCTTAATTAATCTCTGTTTACTATCATTCTTTCCAGCACACCAAGCTCATGAAGCTTTTGAAGGGGCGAAACCCAGGCCCACAAAGCCGCCTGGTTTTCCATTTGGGAGGGACTGAAATGTCCATTCTCGAAGTTTGCTGTATAGAGCTGTGAAGCAGAGTGGTTAGCCTGCGCATTATCCAAGTTACATCTTTTAAAAATCACTGTTTTATGCTTTAGTGTTGGGTAGCCTTTGACGGACTGTGAGATGCATTATCATGTTTAGTGTACATTTGTTGCAATTGATCCTATGCTGGGGTGCTTGGGTAGACTGTTTACAAATGGTCTGAGGGTGACCCACGGACCACGCCCGCAAAGCAGTGGTTGATTTGAAATTTTCCAGCAAGCACCTCCTTTCTTCTCTGTAGGGAGGTACAGGGAAGTACCATCAACCACCCTGTGGGGCCAAGCACTGAAGTTAACCCTTTAAACCCTAAGATCAAAACTTGAATTCTCGTTTGTTGCCCCCATTTGTTTCCTACAGAAGTAGTGGGGAGAAGTTGATAAAATATCAAGCAAATTCATCTTGTGTGATCATGTCAGTAATTCTCATATGACCACTCTGTTTTACAAAGCATTGATGTTACAAGGAGAAATTTGATGCTGATCACTCTTAGGGCTTAAAGGGTTAAGCACATTGCTGCTTGATAACACCCGTATGTATATAAATAGCACTAACAGGAACCTCTGATCAGCTTAACCTCAATTGAATTCATGATCGACTCGGTGAAAGTTCTGAGTAGTTGTAGTTGTAGTTGTTTTAGCTCATAAAGCCGTTTAATGGGTCTTTGTTTTCTGACTGTAAATCATAAAAAAGATCAAAGTTATTTGGCCTGTGAAATTCTTTGTCAGACAATTTGTTACACAGAAAGAAAGTCATACAA